ACTACAACTACCTATTCTCAAGCTACAAAACCATATAGAAAAAGTTCCAATTAAGTCAAGTATTACAAAGAAAAATTGGCTAGAAAGGTGGGGCTTGAAAAACCAAGATTTAGAAAATAACAGCTCTTTTACTTAACACAAACTCTAAATAATAGCCCCACTACAACTAGTAAACAATAACCTATCAGTGCAATAAAAAATGTTGGCCTAATTCAACAGAGTTAAGCTAAAAAAGTGGCTTGAGTGAAATGTACACAACAAGTAGGCTATGACATCCATTGTAGAACTAAAATATGCACTCAAACTATCGTTTATGAGCATTATTTCAATATATAAAGGCTTTGCAAAGTCCTCTGAGGGATCATTCAGCTACTTTAACAAACGAATAGGCTACTGTGATTGTTTTACTTACCCTGGCAGCCATGAATGCAGCGAAACAAGGGTGAGGAGACGTTTATGACGTTTCCTTATGGGATTTTATATGTGTGCATAGAGGAGTTTCGTATCCAGGGGTATATAGTATCTATGCTTCTACTGTATTAATGTCCTTATGCTGTGTAGGAAGTTTGAGGTGATTCCGACTTCAATTTTTCAAGTTACTGCCATTTCAAGAAAACGCCAAAAATCTGAAAAATACCCAAGGCTATAGTCCATGGTTTTTACAACCTGAGAGCTACGCCCCTAAGTCGTCCTATAATTGATTTCACCGTCGCGCTATCTATATATATTTATTAATTAATTTATTTATTTATTTGTATGTCCACGCTTACATTTCTTCTATACACATTGTATTGGAGCATAGATACTACATACACACATGGATATGAAACAGGAAGTCGGTATCCAATTAACTCTTTGAAGTTCACCTGTAGACGTCATAACCAGCATAGCTCTATCCTTGGCGCTTTTCTCTCTGTCTATGTTTTCAAGAATTTTTTTGACTCACTTATTTTTGTGAAAGAAGGTATATAGGTGTTTTTGTTTTGTTCAGTAGACCTAATAAATATATTCTCATTTCATTTTGTCAACAGGCCTCATGTTTACATGACAAAATTAGAAGACCTCCATTTTTATTTGTAACCACCTTTTCTAGACTCTCGAACGGAGTTAGCTAGTAAGTCTTGGAATCATAATAGTGTATTGTTTGTTACATGGACTGAAACTATTCTCGTGTCAATGTAATGAGAAATGACTGAGATAATAGCCAAAAACTAGTTTTTTAAATATTAATTTTGTAACCACCTTTTTGAGACTTCTGCACTAGGTATGAACAAGTTACTACTTTGAGTGTATTCATTAAGGCCTTATATATAGACTGTTTATGGTTTCATTTTTCTAGATGCTATGTTTCAAAAGTAATAATATATTTTTTGCAAGTGTTTCAAAGGGTGTGGTTTAATTTTTAGTGAGAACTGAGTAGTGAAAGAATAGGTTATTTACCAAGAAACACAAGCAGGATTTCAGTGGCATTGATGAGACATTGTTACATGATTGTAAAGCTTTATATTTATGCTACCACAGAAAACTATC